GACAACCAATTGTTTCATCTCTCACACATGGATCTTTCTCTCCCTCTCTTCCTCTCTCTCTCTCTAAAAGTAACTAAATACAATCTTTAAAAACAAACAAAGGCTCCAAGTTAGGATCGTTCGAGGTAGCATTATGATTATTCATTAACATACAAGAATTTCTCACGTGGCCTGCTCCAGGAAGAAATTCCTAACCTTCCTGAAGTAAAGACATGTATCTCACCTCGGCACGTGCTAACGGACGGTCAGTTCTTTAAACCATTGCCTAGGAAGTCAATAGCCCAAACTGCTGCAGCCTTGAGGACAGAGGCAGCGCTCGTCACCAGCTTCCCCTTCTTGCTTTCCACACCCCAGCTGGCTTCGCCTCCCACAGCCAAGCTTACACCTCCCACACCGAATTCTCCGGCCCGTATCTCTCCTCTGAACTCAGACCCGAGGCCCTTCTGAGTACCGTACCTTTCCACTTCATTTCCCCGCAGGAAACTCAAACTCAGCTGGAGCCCAATAGAAACCGTCCTCCTACGACCCTCCTGCCCCTCCTCCCACACAGTCCCTGCTGGTTAAATGGCTCCATCTTCAGTCTAGCTGCCCCCGCATTCAATTTGCCGATTCCTGCAGGCTCCGCCTCCTCGGGACCTCTTGACCACTCTCCAGTCTCTCTTTCCTCATTGCTGCTGCCCCAGACTCCTCCCTCAAGTCTCCTCCCACAGGCACTGAATGGCAGACCGGTACAGGGCAACCTCACGGTTAAAGGCATGGTGAATAGCCTTACGAGACAACCCACATCGTGGCTTGGGCGTGAGACGATCTGCATTCACGTTCCCGGTCCGCCCCTTTGTCACTGTGTCACTTTGGGCAAGGTAGGTAATCTCCACAAGCCTGGGTTTTCCCATCTGCAAAGTTGAGAAACTTCAATGACCTAACACATGTAAAGGACGTAGAACAGTGCCTGGGATATAGACACCACAGAGCTGATCATTCCCTTGTTCGGACCTCAATATTGCAATGACCCTCCATGTCCCTGGCACGGAACACAAAGCCAACCCCGTTTCCTCTCTGACCCCATCTCCACCCTCCCCACCCAACCTTCGCCCCGCAGCCACGCTGAACTCCGAGGTTCCAAGAATGAGCCGGGCTTCCCCGGCTCGCTGTACCATCACGTAACTAAGAAGCTTCACGACCTGACCACATGCCTCCCCCTCCCTGCCTTCTCCATCGTCAAGACCCCACTTAGCACAAATCCTGCCAGGACCTTCTCTGGGGCCTCCAGACTGAGTCTTGAACTTCTCTCCCCCATTCTAGTAGCGTCCCCCTGTCATAGCACCAATTGCACGCCATTCTACTCTTTCATTTGCTTGTCTCGCTAGTTTTATGTTTTCTATTGCTCCTTCCCAGGACTGAGCTTTATGTATTAAAGGCATTATATATGTTCAATGAATGACTGATAACTCATAGCCAACGTCTATGTAGCACTTTCTATGTGTCAGGGTAATATGGACTCTGAATTCCTCTTGTTAAGCTCCACTAATGTGGAGTTCCCTTAGCTGCCTAACAGTCAAAACCCTTTTCTGTAAGTCTTTTTGTTATCTTATCAGATCTGCAAACAGCATCTGCCCTGATTCCTACAGTGCTGATTTCTGTCACAGTCCTTCGTGCCTGTACAAGAAAATTCACAGGGATGAGGCCAGGACGGGCCCCAGTTAAGTCCCTTCTGCAAGCCGGCCACAAGGAAGGACTGCGAGGTTCAGAAGGTTTTTCCCAGACCAGTGTCCTTTGGACAAACTTCATCCTGGGTCACTCATCGAAACCTTATGAAATAAAGCCAGCAAACACTACGCTAAGTGAAAGAAGTCAGACACAAGAGATCCTGCGCGTGTATTGTGTGTTCCCATTTATGTAAAGTGTCTGCAATAAGCAGAGGCACAGAGATGAAAGTAAATTAGTGGCCGCCAGGGTTGGGCGTGGGGACGGAAATTGACCACAAAGGGCCAGGAGTGACTCTCCCGAGACGGAAGCTGCTAAAGTTGTGTTGCCTGGATGGCTGGGCGACTCTGCCCTTTACTGAAAGCTATCAAATTTACACTTAAGGTGGATGAATTTTATAACATCTAATCTATATCTCAATACAGTTGTGGGCTTTTTTTTTTAATCCTTATGAGAGCTTTCCTCAGTCCTCCCTTGTTTGCTCCAGGAAAGCCTGGTTTGGGAGAGACCTCTGCAAATCTAGCACCCTGGGAATGCAGACACTCTGGGGCTGAGGTTTCACGGTTCAGCCAGTAGCCTGGGGGCCTGCGACTCACACGGTCAGCGGCACCTTAGACCGACTTTTCCAGACCCCATTTCCTCCAGGCCACATTCCTGCTTCTTATCTGCATTTATGCCTTAAGTCAAATTTGGGTGCTTATTTTTCTCAGTGGTGGAATCTTATCAAAGGCCATTCAGCATTACATTAGCCATTTCAGGGGACTCTTCATAGGAGCAAATGTGTTTATCTGAGAAATGCCTTGGAACAAAAAGGAAACATTTCCAAACATCCAACGTTCTGCATTTTTTGGGTTGGGATGAGAAGTTGTCTGTAAGAAACTCAGATTCTCAAACTGCTTCTTTAAAGAGGTTCCTTGGCTGAGGCAAAGAAAAATGTAAAAAACATAAACTGTCTTTTTTTTTATCCCTTAATTTTAACTCAAACCTAATAGTCTTTATTCTTCATATTCCTTTAATCATTCTGGGTTCCTCCATCTCCCTCGGCCCCACTCTCTCCCCGATGTACCCCTATTCCTCCTGCACAACCAGAAACTTCAAGACTCAATTATCCTCGCCAATTAGACCCTCCTAGGAACAGAGAAAACCCTTGCTCTGAGCTGAGATCCATTGCCAAAGCGTTTCCAAAGCCTTGGAAGAAATGACAGGGTGGAGTGAACGTTACAGAGCCGTTCAGAAGGGTCTCCGACATCTAATCCAGGACCCACGGATCTACACCGATTGGTTCATGTGTCGGCAGGAACCTCAGCTGCAAAGGCGGCCGGAAATGCAGAAGAGGAAAACCTGGGGGCGAGGGAACGTGGCAGAGGAAACCAGAGGGATTTAGCGAATCTGTAGGTGTTGTGCGGATTTTTGGAAGCATCCTAGATCTTTCCTATAAAAACAGAGTGGGCTCTGACTCAGTCCTGCAGGCAAAGAAAGAATGAGCCCATTGGAGATTCCAGGAGCAGGCTTTTCACATCTCCGGACAGCATGCAAAAGGTCATCCTTCAGCAGATGTGACCCAGCTCTCTCCGCGCTCTTTGTAAATCCTCGTCACCCAGGAATGGGGGGCTTGATAGAGAAACAAGAGCTAGAATGGGAAAGAGCCCCATGCCCGACCTCCAGCTCCTCCCCGAGTACTTTACAAGACCAAACAAGGGCCTGAATAAATTTGCAAGTTTACAAAAGTTCCCTCTGTAACTACCGAGCCTGACCCTCCACCTGTTTGTATAGATAAGTCTGTTGGAATGCAGCCATCCTCACTCATTTACCTGTCCCTGGTGCTTGCACAACCGCAGGGTTAAATAATTACAGCAGAGATGCTAAGGCCGGCAAAGTCTAAAATGTTGACCGTCCGCCCCGTCGCAGAGAAAGTTGGCCAGCTCCTGGTATTACGAATGGGAACAATCCTTCCCTGGTGCCTCGCCTCATTAATCCCCAAAAGAAACAATGTCTAGGCAAAGATACTTGTGGAAAGGACATTAGAAAGTCAAATTGTTCTGTGTTAGCTAAGACACTAAAGAGGAAGAAACAGAGTGATCAGCGAAAAGAGCTAAGCACTTAATTTTCTGTTTTACCTTTACACTCAAAGGAGAAATTTCTCTAAATATCAACTGAGGATTTTTTCAATCCTCAGTTGTTTATTGATTTTAGAGAGAGAGGAAGGGATGGAGACACAGAGAGAGAAAGACAGAAAGACGTTGATGTGCAAAGGAAACACTGATGGGTTGCCTCCCCGACACGTCCCGACTGGGGGTCAAACCTGCAACCTAGGTATGTGCCCCTCCTGGGGTCAAACCCATAACCTTTTGGTGTATGGGATGATGCTCCAACCATCTGAGCCGCCCGGCCAGGACTCTCTAAATATTAAAAGGACAACATTGCACATTTTGAATTCATTCAGGTGCTACATATAAACTCTAAATGCCACCGCTGTTTCAGAGGCAATGAACTAGTCAGATGGTGGGCATCTCTCTTAATCCTCCAACATTCCCAGCACCGGGAACAGCCACCCTAGACTTCACCCAGGGAACAGCCTCTCCCCCTCCAGACACAGCAGCACTGATCCATAGGAAGGGGGTTGTTGTGCAGATAAAAACGCCAGATTAAATGTTCTCCGGAAGGTCTCTTCCCTGAAGTCCCTGAAACCTCCCTGTTCACGATGAGATCATAGCTCATTTGAGAGACTGGCTGACTGTTCCCCTAGTATCTCAATCAAGCCTAGACTGGAGATATCAAGGAAATGCCAAAAATTCTTGGGCACAGGCAGGATTTGGGAGCAAAAATAAGTAAGGTTCAGATTGATTTATTTAATCTCTATCCAAATTCCACAGTGTCCTGCTAAACCAGACGCTGAAAAAGGACTAAACCAATCTTTAAAAGCCTAATCCACAATAAATTTAGTTTAAAAAAAAGGCAAGAAAACCCCAAGTAACCCTAACCCTAGCTCTTGGCGTAACTCTTAACGTAGCTCTTACCCTAACTTGAACCAAACAATCATTAAAACCTAAAAGCTAATCTCAAAGCTAATGCTAAGGCTCGCTTAACTAAGGTTAACCCTAATCTTAAACCCAACCCTAACCCAAACACTAATGCTTCATCTAACTTTACCCCTGACCCAAAAAACCAAACAAACAAAATAAAAAACAAACAAAACAGCCTAACAGGAAAAACTCATCAATGGGCAGAGCTACAGATCCATTTAGGACTTTGACTCAAAACTCTGAGCTGTGCTACATTAAATCACAGCAGGCTGAAGGGCGGGAGGGAGAGACGAGAGATCAATCAGCTAACACCTGGGGGCTGAAACTGACCCAAGCCTGCTCACATCCCTGAGTGTGTGCTAAAACTTGGAATTAGCTGCGAGGTACCCACCATTGCCTAGAGAGAACAGTGGAGCAACCGACCGGGAGACCACCAGGTAATGCGGCATCTTGCTTACGTACGAACTTTCTGGACCATTGCCCTCAGCCAATCCAAAGGAGCAAACTCGTCTTTTTTTGCTAAGTAGCTCCCAGAACCCCCCTCCCCATAACTATACTGTATCTGTAGTTCTGTTTGCTTAATCGTATAATAATAGCATTATTGTTATAGTATCACATTATTCTTACCAGGCTTACTAGAGTTTCTTTTTTCAGATAACCGCTTTCCATTTCAGTGTTCCTTTCTGATTTTATTAGTTTTTAGTTCTTATCTTTATTATTCCCTTTTTATTCTACTTCCTTTTGGTTTGCTCCATTACTCTATATTCAACTTCTGAGGTGAATCCTCAGTGTATTTATTTTATTTAGTGATTTTTAGAGAGAGAGAAGGAGGCGAGAGAGAGAGAGAGAGGCATGGATTTGTTGCTCTGCTTGTTTATGCATCCATTAGTAGATTCTTGTATGTGCCCTGACTGGGGATCGAACCCACAACCCTGGTGTATCGGGAACCTGGCCAGGGCCCTCAGTCTATTTAATTTAAATCTTGATTTCTAATAAATATATTTAGATTTAGCTGTTTCTCTGTGGGGACAGCTTCACAATTTTGACATACCATGCTCCCATTATTGTTCAGTTCTAAAATGTTCATCAGTTTTATTAAGACTTCCTTTCTGAGCCCTAGCTGGTGTAGCTCAGTGGATTGAGTGCCAGACTGCAAACCAAAGGGCCGTGGGTTCGATTCCCAGTCAGGGCACATGCTGGCCAGGTCTCCAGTAGGGGGCGTGAGAGATGCACCCACACATTGATGTTTCTCTCTGTCTCTTTCTCCTTCCCTTCCCCTCTCTAAAAATAAATAAATACAATAATTTTTAAAAGGCTTCCTTTTCGACTTATGAATTACTTGGCTGTGGGATTGCTTTGCTTCTTTGTTTCAAATGGGAGATATGTTTCCTGAATTCAGAGAGACTCTGGAGAGTCACGTGTCATTCTTCTCCTGGGCTACCTTGCTCTCTCACCAAATGGAGCTCTACTTGGCCAATGGGACTCTACACACAAAATCTACAAAATCTCCCGCCGAAGCACAAGGAACCCAGCCCCTTTTATGACTCAGGGAAAGATGACTCCTTCTGAATGGATTTTTCTTGACCTTCCTGAAAGGTTTCTCTTAACTGCTTAAGCCCCAAAAGCTTACTTATTACTAGTTACACTTGAACTGTTTTCTTCACCTCTTTTCTACCTTACTGGAAAATCTGAGCGAAAACTGTTTGGGGAATGGTTTCTTGGAAACTGCAGCTCTCAGGGCCTAAAAGCGTCTACAGTGGACAGCATCTGAGCCCAGATCTGCTTTCCGGGCCATTAAGCTGCGTGTCCCCTGGCGAGGCACTTAATCTCATCGGTAGAATGTGGGCAGTAATCTGCGCTGGTCTGCAGTCGATGTGATGAGGGTGGGAGATTATGTAGGAGAAAACGCTCTTAAGAAGGAAACAGTGCAGAGAATGGTTATCTTTATTTTCTTCTTTGTGCTATCTATAGTTGATAGTCTAAAAATAATTTTATTTCTGTAGTTTTATGTTTCATATTTTATAAATACAAAATAGTTATTTATATTTTATTTTTTAAAAATCATTGTGTTGCACAAATAGAAGTTATCACAATTCTTCTTCTTTTGATGTTAAGCTCTAATTTTATCAATTTTCTTAACAACATGCATAAATTAAGTCTCAAACAGCCCTGGAAGAGTCACGCGGTTGGTTAGACCATTGTCCCCACGCACCAGGGTTGTGGGTCCCATCACGGGTCAGGGCACGTGCTGGAATCAACCAATGAATGCAGGGATGGGTGGAGCAACAAAATAACGCGCGTGCTCTCGCTCTCTCTCTCTCTCTCTTTCTCATTAGTAAAAAAGATATATATTTTTTTTCTTTTTTTTCCAACTGATGGTGTCAAGGTGTCGCTGGGAGATCTGAGCATGCAGAAAATAATTAAGCTGTTTGAACACAAGGAAGAAATAGAACTGTTCGTGGTTCTTAGAAATAAATGCCTTCTTGGGAAATTGATTACTTTCAGTGCAAGTACGGTCCTACTACTAGGAAGTGACTCTCTGGTTTCTCCACTGACTGAGGCGGGTATTCCCCCGAGCTCTCTCCTGTGGGGGGTTGGAACTTAGTGACCCCCAGCCCTGTGAACGCTCCGGCGGCGACAGCGCCATACCCGTGGTTCTTCAGCACTGCACTCCGCACATGCGCAGCTAGGTAGGCGCGCCGCCAAGACTTCAAGGTAAGCCCCACACGGATTTCTGGACATCTTGGCCTAGTAGCTCTTCCCTCTCCTCTCCCACGTTCCGCCCAAGAAGTTCCAGCTGCCTCTGCCTCCCTAAATTTCAATCGCAGTCCTTTCTGCAGCGAGCCCTCCCTTTCCTGCCTGAGTTCTGCAAAGTGCTTCCAGATCTGTCTCCCAGGGCCCCCAATCCCTGGAGGCCCGTCGTCTAAAATCTGAAAACAGATGTTCCTAGATTTTGTTCAGTCTTCCAGTTGCTTAAGGCGGGAGAGCAGCTCTGGGACCCGCGACCCCACATGGCCAGAGTCGGAAGTCAGACAGATTTCTGAAGTGACAGCTTTCGCCTCCTCGGAGCGGTTGCTCGCCTTTGGGGTTGGAGACGCGGTGAGCGTGGGACCGATGCATAACCCCCTTCGTACCTCTTCGCAAACCTGGCGCCGTGACAGAGCCCAGGTCAAGAGATGATTTAGTCAACGAGTAATTACTGAGTGGCTTCCAGGCACCAGGTTTCAGTCTGGCCCTGGGGACACAGTAGAGAGCGAAGCATCCAGGTCCCAACTCCGTGACGGAAACTGGAGTGGCCTAGAGGGTACAATTTAAGGGACAAAGAACAGTCCTGCTTCCCATCAAGGTGTCCTCCTCCCACTGCACCGGCCATGACGTCACCTTTCCTTCTCACCAGGCTTAAGGTCCCACTTCTCAGACGGACTCTACAAATCCTTTCTGAAGACCTATTTTGCACTTTGCAGGGCATGAGATGCTGAGCATGATTTGAGGTCGAGCCAAACCCAGCCTCTGCCATCATGAAGCTCAAAGGGGTGGAGGAGATGAGGTGAGTGTAAAAACAAGTCATGCACTAGACTCCCCAGGGCCCCTTGTTTCCCCAAGGGCATCAGCTTCCAGGATAACCTGACATCTAGAGGCACAGGGTCTCTGCCATCCTCCTCTGACAAGCCTCAGAACTGACCTGGCTGGTGGGCTCCACAGGACTGACACCAAACAGGGAGCTCTTTACCCAAGGCGAGGAGGTCCCCCAACAGCCAGGGCAGAGAGCAAAGACGCTGAAGGGAACATGCACACGGGGGGGACTCAAATGTTCACCTCTCTGTACACGCCCACAAGTGACCACAGAAGTGCCACAGTATTGATTTTGAGGCGACGAATACATTTTAGCGAGTAGGCAAATTCACAGATCCAGAATCTGCAAACACAGAACCCATGAGTCATGAGAATGGATTGTAAGAGTTGATCCTATGGCTCTCCTGTCTGAGCCGTCAGGGAACTGGGCTAGTCCACACTTCCCTGCCCCACGCGCCCCGACCCCTGCACTGCAGTCAGGAGACCAATTATTTATATGGCATCTGAGCTTATGCGCTGGCCTCCTGTGCTTCTTGGGGATGGAAACTGTGTTCCTATCATATAACACAGTGGCTGGCCTACAGATGTTTAATAAACAGTAAATTTTTAAAAAATAAATGAATGAGCCAGTAAAGGGAAAACAGTAAGTGAGTATGGATCTCAGGGTATCCAGGAAAGATGACAATTAAGCCATTACTTTAAAGTTACTTTCAATTTATCGTTAAGAAATTTGTGTGGAGTGAGTGCATCAATCTATTTACACTTGGGTGCCAAACTTCCCACCAGAAGAATAAAAGAGGGAGTGACCTACTCGTGGGCCCACACCACTCAGCCCTCCAGTTTGGTGAACTTGTGGAGCTGAACAGGGCACCTTTCACTTTCACTGGATGCCTGCCGGGAACACTGATGACTTTGTCTGAATCAGTTCTGTCTGATGCTCCCGGTTCTATTTCCCTTCGCATTCCCCTCGCTCTTTGTGTGGATTCCAGCAAATGTGTGTGCCGAGAGCTTTCAGGCTTCCTCCCCTTTCTTCCCAGCGCATTGTAACCTCATTAGTTGACATTCATTTAGACGGTGAGCAGTGCCAAGTGGGGGGGAGTCCATGATCCTAGTTTCAGTGGCGGTGTTATCTGAACAGGATTTGCGAAGGGCGTCCCCAAGCAGAGGTTTCTTGGAAATGCTGGCGGCTATTAGAGGGCTCCTGAATGGCTTGTTTCAACTCGAGTCTGGTCAACGGAGCGGCTTTTATTGTGTGTGACAGTCCCAGTGGCCACGATAGTCATACTCTCAACTCTCATTTATTCAGGATGAAAAAGAGAGCGTGCAGAGGCAGGCTGTGAGGATAATTCTCAGATCTCTCTATTTACAACCCGTCATCAAGTCCTGTGGGTTTTTTTTTTAATGTCTCTTACACACCTCCTCTCCATCCTCACAGCCACACCCTTGGTCTGGGGCCAGCTTCGTCTCCTGCATGGGCGAAAACTCGGCTTTGTAATCGTTGTTGCCTTTTTCCAGTGTGCCAGCTCCTCCCCTCCCCCACTCCACCCATTCGGGAGCTCGGCCACGTCAGTGCTCTAAAACACAGATTCCCCTCTCTCCCTTTCTCTGCCACTGGCGTGTGCTCTTGACTCTGTCCTCGCCATGTTGTCTCACGAGACTTTGAGGATCATGCAATTCCTGGCCGAGAAATGAAAGCAGAATCATCCCATCCAATGGAGCCGCATAAAAACTGGTAAGAAAATCAGGTACGACTCTAAGAGGAGACACTAGGGAAGGACCAAGCCGACTCTTAAGGAATCCCATAGGAGACGGCACACACATTGATGCCATGCTGCGGGGGGTCACTGGCATCTTAGCATATGGTGTGGAAAACGTCACCTCCATTCGGACAGCTGGATATGTTTTCTTAGGAAAGCGAGTTTTCGCTTTGTTTCTGTGCTTCTGCAAGAGTAGGTTGGTTCAGTAATAAATATGTGAGAACTTTTGAAAAAAAAAAAACAACTCCACAGATTTCATCCTTCAAGCTCCAGAAGTAGCTCTGCTTCCTCTACGGGGAAGAGCCAGTCCAAGAGAGCCAGTCTGGGCTTGCCGACCAGGGGTCCACCCCACCCGGACTCTGTGGCTCCCTCAGCTTCCACTGCCTGCCCTACTCCGGTCATCATCCTCGTTCTCCCTCATTCATTCTTCACCTCCAAGGTGTCACTCACCTTGGCCCATGTCCTAGAAGGCCTGTCTCTTTAACTCCTTAAAGACCCAGAGAAGTTCAACCCCCTCTCCAAGGCCTTTCTCTTTTGATGGTTCCTATTGTGAACCCTTGGAGTCTGTTCAGGTACTTCGATTATTCAACGATGCTTTTCATTGTTTTTAACTCTTTCGCACATATACATCTAAGCTGTAAGTCCCTGAGGGTTCAGTGCTGTCCAATACAAGTATAATGGGAGCCACAAATGCAAGCCTCATGTAATTATACATTTCTTAGTAGTCTCATGAAAAATAAAGAGGTAAAATTAATTTTAATAATATATTTTATTTAACAAAATACATCCAAAATATTATTATTTTAATGTGCAATCAACATAAACAATGGCTAATGAGATATCTCAATTCTTTATTTCATGCTGTTTGGCATCCGATGTGTATTTTATACCTACAGTGCATCTCAGTTTGCACCAGCCACATGTCAAGTGCTTGGTAGGCCTGTGGGGCTAGTGGCTATCACACTGGACAGCTGACTTTAAAGCACTCTTAGTCCTTGAAATCCCACACAGTTGAGTGACGGTACAAATGGACACAAGGAATGTGAGTCGACAAACTGTTGCCGCACTGGAGGGGGGTCTCTGGCACAAGTTCCTGCCCTTGACCCTGTGCTGTTCATCATCATCCACCCATGGCGTGGGTCCCGCTGTGGTTAGGAGCACCACTCTGCAAGGTATGTACCGTTCGTCATACTGTGATGTGCACTTAAACGTTTGTGAAGAGGTGGATATTGCATGTTATGCTTTTATCATAATTAAAGAAATATTCGCTCTGAGTCAGAGAGACCTTAATTTCAGATCTCAGCTCTACAGCTATGACGTGTAGATGTGAGCAAGTTAACTTTCTTCTCTGAACTCTGGTTTCATCATCTATAAATGGGGATAATTGCACCAACCTTAAAGAATGTTATGAAGAGTAAATGAGATACTGCTTGTAAAATACCCCCATACACAGGTATATTAGACCCTTAAAAATATTAGGTTTAATAACAATTATTATCACCATAAATGGTATACTTATTAATTTAGCAGATGAGATAATTCTGAGAAAGATAGCTATTAAGTTAAAGAATCAAGCTTAAAACCTTTTTCCCAGATAGGATCCAACAGGTTGGATAAAATAAGATGAAACTTAATAGATATAAGTCGAAGTAAAGTATCCCATTTAGGTTTAAAAAATTCAGCTACACAAAAATAAGCTTTCAGCTTAACTGTAGCACATACCAAAAAAAGGCATTTAATTATTCACTAAATGTAGTTAGGAATAAAATTGCAATTGTACATTTCATTTCACATTTAATGCAAAATGCAAATAGTACAATAGGGTCTAAAGTACAAGGTTAACATTCTCCCTCTCCTTTCCCCACTCCCTAGAAGTAAAGAGCCATTACCTCACACATCTTTCCAGAAATGTCCGGGGCTGAAACAAACACGTATTTGTTCATCTTGACACTTACAGGGATCGCCTGTCATTCTCTCGTGCAACTCCCCTGAAGAGGGTTAAAACTAAACTTGGACTACCAAAGTTCAATATCATTCAGAAGTGTGCTGTGTGAGCTCCCAACTTCAACTTGATTTGAAGCTTCAGAAACAAGGAGGAGGAAAGCAGTAAGGTGGAGGGAACAGGCCAAGGCCACGGAGAACCTGCCACAGACATCTGGAATCCTTCGCTACCTTGTGAGCACTCCCTTTAAAGAAAAGGACTGATGAGCTGCGTGGAGGAGAGAGATGAGGCGCAGAGCGATTCAAAACTGCAGCCTTGCCCTGGCTGGCATAGCTCAGTGGATTGAGCGCCAGCTGCGAGCCAAAGTGTCGCGGGTTCAATTCCCAGTCAGGGTACATGCCTGGGTTGCAGGCCATGACCCCCAGCAACCACACATTGATGTTTCTCTCTCTCTCTCTCTCTCTCTATCTCTATCTCTATCTCTATCTCTATCTCTATCTCTATCTCCCTCCCTTCCCTCTCTAAAAATAAATAAATAAATAAAAATATAAACAAAACAAAACAAAACAAAACCCCACAGCCTCACAGATTGGCTGTTGGATCTGCAGATGTGGAACCGGAAGAGGGGCGGTATCAGAGCAACACAATAGCTGTTTCTTGGGGAGGAAGAACAGCCATTCACAGGACTTCGGAGAACAGTGTTTAACCAGGGTCCTGACAGTTAAAAATGCTTTCTAAAAGGGGCATTTTTTTAAAAACCAAAAAGGACTTTTAACTAAATAAGGATTGCTGTGGAGGTAAATGAGAGAACACATGGAAAAGGGCTTTTTAAATGAGAAGCCACCCTGGCAGACAATGCTTCCCAAAAATTAGAAAGTTCTGAAATTTGCATGGCAAGCTGTACCAAGTGTGACCCTCCAATTACTTCAGATGTTTCAGGAGAAGCTGGTACCTCATTAACAAAAATAATTACCATGTTCTTAAAACTATTTCCTTCATTATCTCAAAGTAACTTATTTATATCCTTGAACCTGGCTCATTGCCTGGCATAAAATAGATTAAATGGGTAGGAAAAAAAGGAGGGAGGGAGGAAGATATGAATGAGCGATAATAATCCAAGCATTTTTTCCCTCCTCGTAAAACTGTTTTCCCTCCTACCAGCTCGCCCATTAATTTCCGTCTCTTCTTGCCTTTTTTCCCCCAACAGATACTTCTCAAATTCTCTACCCCACTTCCCCGTCTCCTTTTCCATCTGATTTATTGCTGAAATCCTTGTGTCCTTTCTTTCTCCTCTCCCAAAGGGCACTGTCTGGTCTCGTCGAGCCTCCTCAGCTAGGTGCCTCCTCTTGCTCTTAAGGAAATAAAGCTTGCGGCAGGTTCTTCTCAAATGTTTTAATGTATTAACTGTGTTTCCTAGGTCTTCACGATGTTCCAGAAAGCACATACCAAGTGGGTAGGGATGAGAGGTGGGATGAAGATGTAGCTGGACCAGTGGAAGGATGAAGATGAGAACGCCTCTCCATGAGTCCTTGAAAGGTCATAAATTCACAGCCATGAAAACATTGCTTTAGCCCTGACTGGTGTGGCTCAGTGGGTTGAGAGCCAGCCTGTGAACCAAAGGGTTGTAAGTTTGATTCCCAGTCAGGGCACATGCCTGGGTAGCAACCCAGGTCCCCCATAGGGGGCATGCGAGAGGCAACCACATATTGATGTTTCTCTCCCTCTCTTTCTCCCTCACTTCCCCTCTTTCTAAAAATAAATAAGTAAAACATTTTTTTAAAAAAAGCATTGCTTTATATCCATCAAGTGTCATCAGATGTCTGAGACTTTGAGGTCTGTGCTCCAAGGTTCAGGTTCCCGACCTTGACCCACAAAGTCTAAGAAGAGGTGTGAGTTAATGAATAGAGCACTGAATTAGAAGTCTGTATTTTCTGACGTCCAAGAGCCTGGGAACAACAAAACAAAACTGAAGAGATAAGGAAAAACAACAAAAAAAGACTGACTTAGCTACATAGGGAATAGCTGGGCCTCTATCTGGTTTGAGGTCATAATATTGTTATTTCAAAATTGAATGAAAGCAAAACACATATTTTCACAAGTTACTTATTGCTTCATGCCTGTTGCCAGCAGGAGCCTTCAGAGACACCTTGGACTGGCCTTTCAGAAAGCAGGCGCTGCCACTCCCTGTGGGTTACAGCATCTGTGAGGCTTTTGCATAATGATATTTTGGGTTTACATAATTAGAGTCTTAGCCAGTACTACAGAAATTCTGTAGAAATTTCCATGCACACCGGGTTGTGATTTGTTGATATAAAGGGGACTGTTTAGGTATGTTCCCCTCATGGATTATCTCCCAGAATGCAGAGCCTGCTTTTACAATTGTGTGCTTGGTGTCATTTAAACTGTCCCTCACTGTCTTTCCTTTACATCATTCATGATCCTCTCTAGTGTGTGCTTTAAAATGATTTCAGTGTCTTGATCCTTTCAAATGATTTCTTTCCTCATTGCACCAGGGATAACCAGGCCTGCAATTGCCTAATTTCCCGTAATCTCTGCAGGACAGTCAGCGACAATTACATTAATTCACACCAGGGTGTGAACGAGAGAGCAGAATGCTTGGTCCCCTCCTCTGCCTTACTCCCACACCAGCAAATTTGTCACTCTCCCGAGACGCCCACTGCTTGAATAGGCGAAAGAATGAATACCTGAAATCCGGAAATGTGACTAGGTGATCAGTGGAAGGCCAGGCACCGCGATGATGTGGAGAACCCTGGGCAGTGGGCGGGGTGCGAAACCTCCCTGATGCCCTCAACTCACACTGCCTGAGCTGGGGCCTTTCGTTGTCAGTCCCACCCAGTTGTAAGGGGCCAGCGGGGGCATCTGCCAATGTTAAAAACGTGGGCTCTGAGGGTCTGCAGATGAGAGGGGGCAAGCCCCCCCAAATGCAGGGCTTTTTACATCGGCTGTCTGAAGCGCTCAGGACACTTTGTAATTTATGATCCTGTTGCATAAATGTAGAACGACTGAATCCGTTTAATAATGAAAACTCACAATCAGTGGGCATTGCGTTATCCACTCTGTGTATTGGTGTCTCATCTGCAGTGGGGCTGTGTCTGCAAATCGGTGCTTACTTCCTCGACCTCTTCCTTGACCTTTATCTGGTCTGGTCGTCACTGTCGATTTTATTGTTCCGAGAAGGGGGAAAGCCGTTTCCCTTTCTGTTCGCTGCCTCTGAGGTGTGAGTCATGAGTGTTATTTTTGCCTGAGCGGATGGATACTTTCGGAGATTTAATCCTTTTCTCTGCTTTCCTAACATTTCCATTTAGAAGTACTCATGCGTTCGCGGCCAGGCTGAAAGATGTGTTTGTTTTGAAGTCCCAAAGTGGACCTGGCGCTGATCTTGGCTGCTGGCCCTGGACGTGCCACTGGCGGAGAAGGACCGCACGCCTGAGCGAATGAGCCACTTGCTGGGGTCTGGCTGCTCTCGTCCTGGCGGGGGCGTGTCTGGATGCCGCCCTGGCGGGGAGGCGGGGGTCCTGCGGCCAAGACTTCGATTCCCCGGCCCACCCCCCGGGTGGGTCCTGGCCTCGGGGACGGTGACCGCGGGCGGGATCGCCAGCACTGCCCGACTATCTCCCCGACGTCCTGCGGGCCACGAGCGGGAGCCTCTGTGCCCCCACCCCCAGCACCAGCCGGCCTCATCCGGCGCATTCGAAATAGGGCCCCCGTCGGTCACTGTGCGCAGCTTTGGGGGCTGTTTGGGGAACCCGCCTGGCCAGGAGTGGGGCAGCCGCGGAAGGGACCGGTTCCTGAGGTGCGTGGGCAGGTGTGGGGGGCGTCCCCTGAGAGGCTAAAGGTGAGCGAGGGCGGACCCAGCGCGGAGGCGCACAGGCGACCTGGGCGGGCGCTGGGGCGGGGGTGTGGCGGAGGGTGCAGGGAGGGTTAGGAGACAGCCAGGCACGCGGCGGAAAACAGGTGGGGGCGGGGCTGGGGCAAGTGGGCGGGGCTGGAAGTAAGCCGGGCCGCCGGGGCTCCAGGGGGCTAGCGCGCGGGCGGGCACGCCGGCCTGGGCGGGGCGGGGCGGGGCGCCGGCGGGAAGGGGGCGGGGCCGCGGGGAGCCTCGGCTGGGGCGGCTGCGGGCGGGCGCGTGGTGGGCCCGGCGCGATGAGCGGGGCCGGAGCTGCGCCGGAGGCGGCGGGCGCGGCGCGGGGGCTGCGGGTGGACGGGCTGCCCCCGCTGCCCAAGAGCCTGAGCGGGCTGCTGCACTCGGCGTCCGGCGGCGGCGCGGCGGGGGGCTGGCGGCACCTGGAGCGGCTGTACGCCCAGAAGTCGCGCATCCAGGACGAGCTGAGCCGTGGCGGCGCGGGGGGCGGCGGCGGCGCCCGGAGCTCGGCGCTGCCCACCAAGCCGCCCAACCTGGACGCCGCGCTGGCCCTGCTCCGCAAGGAGATGGTAAGAGGGCTCCGCGGGCCGCGTGGGGGGCGCCTTCCCCTTCGGGCGAGTTCGCGGGACCGGAGCCCTGCTCCGGAAGTCCCCGCGCCCACCCGCCCCTCTCTGTTTATTTTGCCCCGGGAGTCGGCGCGGAAGACGGGCACTGCCCTCTGAGCTTCCCCTTTTACTTGCTCTCTCTGTGCCCACGATGGGACCATCGCCCAGGGAGGGTCCCCACTCTCAAAGGGCAGCTTTCAGGGACCCGCCGCCGCTGTCCCGCGGGCTCGGAAACTCCGGTGGCGGGAGGCGCCTTTGTCACCCCTCGCAGAGGGCAGCCGACTTCCCGCGTCGGGGAAGGGCTGCGACCGCGCCCGCGGGGTTGAGAGCGGTGAGCGATCTTGCTTCCCTGCCCTGGGGAGGACAGCTTTGTCCGAGCGAGTGTAGACCGCAGCTTGCAGCAGCCCTCTCCCCTCCCCCGCACCCCAGGCGGCGCCGGCAGAATCCGATTACCGCGAGGGGGGCGGCCGCAGATGGTGCTGAAGGCGAAGGCGCCCCTAACCGCTCTCCGCGCCCGGCAGCTGTGCCCTCCCGTCGGGGGGAGGCCCCTGCGGGTCTTCGGGCTGTGTCTGGGCTGCAGACAATGGGGCGCAGTTTCCCTCAGCCCTTGAGAAGTCCAGGACGTGTTTGTGGATCAGGACACGCGACTTAGGGTGACGCCAAAAGCGGGGCAAGGGCTTGGATGTAGGTGTCACTGAGCCTTTCCCCAGCTTTCTCCTCCCGGGTTAGACCGGGCCAGGCGCGTACGGAAAAACCACTCCTTTCTAACCCTCTTGCTGGCCACGGTCACCTCCTCCTGGCCGCCCCCCTGTTTCAGAATCTGCCCACTTCTCTCATCTAGTGCGGGTCCTTTCCCTGTCCTAGTACAGGTAAATAAAGGCATTCTTTAGTTAGGAAGTCTAGTATATGAAAGGTGCTCCCCCCCCCCATGAATTA